GAGGAGGGAAAGTGGAGATGCCCAATGTCATAAGCCTGCAAGCTGCCGACAGCAAAGTTGGAAGGATGGAAGAATACATTTTAAGGTAGTTAATGGAAAATAGACCCACGGGCGGAGGGTCTACTTGGTTTATTATAGTCAACAGCATTTTACTCAATGTTGTGATGAAAATTCTTTTAAATGGTACAGCAGTCATTTGTCTATTTACTGTTCTGAAGTAACTTGGAGTTGCTGTGACGCTGAATCTTGTGCCATAGTTGTGTCAGATGGGGTCACTAAGAGTCATATTCGACTTGATGGCACTTAACCACTGCTACGTGCGACTAGTATTGGTATATTTTGGAAGAACATTCTTCTACTTTGTACATCACTCTTTGTCAGTTTGCTGCACTGAAGTAATCTGGGTTTGCTGTGATGCTGAACCTTGTGCCATTGGGGTGTGAGATGACATAATGGTTTCCCATTGTGGACAGTGTTTGGTGGAGCTCCCAGTTGTAAAACAGGTTTGGAAGCAGGAGTGTCATCTACTTCCTAAACCACATGCCTATGGAAACTCTATGAACTTAGAAAAATGACCATAGTTATAGAAAGACATTAGGTCTTTTGTTCTTAGAGTCATTATGAGTCATGCTCAACTCAACAACAATCAACAACAACAGCAAAAATAATGGAAAATAGAATTCTGATGGATCAGTGGCAAGGAATGCAAAGAAAGGCATGTGATTTGAATCCAGTAGCTGCTCTGTGGGAGAAAGATGGGCAATCTCCTCTTGTGCAATTTACAGCCTCTGAGAATTCACTGGAGGGTCAGCCATGAGTTGGTTTCTACTCTATGGTCCATAACAAAAACAATGGAAAATAGAGGTAATTGTTTCAGCCCAATCTATCTCTTAGGATGGCTCAGAATTAATTGTTTTGGGATGTTCTCAATATCCCACGCACACCTGCATCGCTGAGTCTGAACTAACTTGATAGTATCTGATACCATTACCATTTCAAGGAAGGGATTTGACTTTTGTGCTAAGATCTGAATGATGTTAGCTATGTTGTTGTTGTTATCCAGTTGAGTCGCTTGCGAGTCATAGTGAACCTATGAAGCTATGAAGCCTGCTCTAACCTGAGCTGACTTTATTGTCCCTGACATAGCTACTTCCATTACCCCAGTCACTGAGTTAATCCATCTCATCAAGGGTCTTCCTCTCTTGCAATGTCCCTCTACCCTCACAAGCATGATGTCCCTCTCCAAGGACTGGTTCCTCCTACAGTATGTCAGACAGAGCTTCAGAATCCTTGCCTCCAAAGAGCAACTTGTACTCTCCAGGACGAACCTGTTTGTTCTCCTAGCAGTCCATGTTATATTCAATACTCTTCTCCAGCACCACAGCTCAAAGGAATCAATTGTTCTTCTATCATCCCTAGTCATTTGTCCAGCTTTCTGATGGATACAAAGTAATTGCAAAGACCATGGCCTTGATCAGGTGCACCTTAGTCTCCAGACTGACATAGTTATTCTTCAGTACTCTAGAGAGGTCCCTGACAACAGACTTTCCCAAAGCAATTTGTCTTTTGATTTCCTGGCTGCTGGTACTAAGAGTGTTGATTGTGGAACCAAGCAAGCTGAAGCTGTTAACAATCTCAATCTCTTCACCATCTATCATGATGCTGCCAATTGGCCCAGTGGTGAAAATCTTTGTTTTCCTGATGTTGAGCTTCAATCCTTGACCTTCTGCAGCAAATGCCTCAGGTCCTCCTTAGTTTAGGCAAGCAAGGTTGTATCATCTGCATAATGCAGGGTTTTGATGAGTCTTCCTCCAATCCTGATTCCACATTCCTCCTCATAGAGCCAGCCTCACAGATGATCTGTTCTGAGTATATATTGAAAAGGTATGGAGACAGAACACAACCCTAGCATACACCCTTCCCCATTTTGACCCATGCTTTGTTTCCTTGCTCTGTTCTGATGACTGCTTCTTGGTCCAAGTATAGGTTTTGCATAAGCACAACCAAGTGTTCTGGGATAGAGTTTTTGCAAATGTTCTTTATCAGAGTGAGGAAATTATCCTATTTTAGTATGCTGAGGGAGCTCTTGTGGTCTAGTGTGAAGGAATTGAGCTATGAACCCAAAGTCATGTGGTTTGAATCTGCCAGCTGCTCTGTGGGAGAAAAATGGGCAGTCAACTTCTATCTGATTTAGTCTCTGAAACTTGCTGCAGAGTCAGATATGATTGGGTCTCACAACCTGATGGTTCAGAACAACTTGTTTACTGAGAGATTTTGATGGTGTTAGATTTCACCAGGTGCTTTTTCTGAATATGATTTTTCTTCTCCAGCTTATTGATATAATGATTTGTATTCATTGATTTGTGAATGTTGAAGTAGCCTTGCGTATCTTGGATAAATACAAGTTAGTGTTGTATTGATTGTGGTGTATAGTTCTTTTCATACATTGTTGGATTCGAGTTGTAGAAGCAGCAAGCATGCTACCATCTGGGGTTAAAATGTTCAAGGCAGGAGGAGAAATAAACACAAAAATCTATGGCAGGAATGAATGCACTAAGGTCAGAGAGGAGGGACAGAGAGCCAAGAGATTCAAGACAAATCCAGAGGAATAGGCTTCAGTGGCCTTCTAGGGCCTGGCCTGATGAGGGTGTGGGTTTGACTTTCAAAGCAACGGAAGAAATAAAAAAAAACAAACCCAAAACCCCAAAAGAGCAATGGAACCTCTGGAGTGTTAAGTGCCCAAGGCCACTTTGTGGAGAATGGGTAGTAAAGGAAACAAGAGTGACACACAAAGATTGGTTACGAGTCTACTACATTTACCAGAGAGAGAACAGAGGACTGGACTTCTAGTTATGGGAGTGGAGATAAGGAGAAACATATGGGTCTAAGGTATAATTCTTTTTTTTTATATTATTAATTTTAATGGAAATTTACAGAGACTTTGGATTTCCATTCATTCATTGTTGCACTTTTCTCCCTGCCCACCCCCCCCCACCTCAGTTCGTTCTTCTCTTTGAAAAGTCAAAGAAAAATTCTTTCATTGTTTTACAATCCCTCCCCCCAGGTCCACTCCACTATGCAGCCTTCGTTCTGGACTCCCATCATTACAATAATACCTAATCACATATCCCTTTTAAACAGTTTTCTCTCTTATCTGTTTCAATGCAGTATACATTATTTATCCCATCTTTCTCAGTCTCCCTTAACCCCAATCAGTCCTGTTTTACAACAGTGGCACCATGCAGTATTTGTCCTTTTGTGACTGAGGTATTTCACTCAGTATAATGTCCTCCAGGGTCACCCATTTTGAATAATATTGCATGAGTTCCTTGTTTTTCAAAGCAGCGTAGTATTCCATTGTGTGGCTATACCACAGCTTCTCTATCCATTCGTTTGTTGATGGGCACTTAGATTGTTTCCAACTCCTTGCTATTGTGAACAAAGCCGTGATAAACATGGGTGTGCATATATCTGCTTAGATGTCAGTTATGGTCTCTTTGGGGTATATTCCCAGTAGTGGAACTGCTGGGTCAAATGGTATCTCTATTTGAAACTTTTTGAGAAAGCGCCATACAGTGGTTGCACCATTTTACACTCCCATCAACAGTGAATAAGGGTTCCAGTTTCTCCACAACCTCACCAGCATTTGATGTTTGCTGTTCTGTTAAATTTTGCTATTCTTACTGGGGTGAGATGATATCTCATAGTTGTTTTGATTTGCATCTCTCATAGAGCTAGGGATTTTGAACATTTCTTCATGTGCTTGTTGGCCATCTGAACGTCTTCTTTGGTGAAGTGTCTGTTCATATTTTTCAATTGGATTGTTTGCCTTTATCTTATTGTGGTGCAAGGTATGATTCTGAAGGTGAAGCCCACAGGCTTGCTGATGAATTGGATGTGAGAGGTGCAGAAAAGATGGATTTTGGGTTTCAGCATCTGGGTTGATGGTACTCTCATTCAGAGACAGGAAAAATAAGGAAGAAGAAACTTTGGGGGGAAATAGTCATCTGCTAAGTCTTGGCCATGAGGTGAATACTAATTGTCCAAGTGGTGATGTTAACAGGGAAGTTGGGGAAAAGAATTTCCAGGGAGTTCTCAGGGCTGGAGACCAACACTGAGGAATTCTTGGAGTGGAAATGGCATTTAAAAACTCGGCAGTTTGCCTGCCTAGGAAAGGCACTGCTGGTATATCCTGGAGGGTGTTAGGCTACCTTTAAGAGCACCTGCATGGTAACGTTGTTATCTAAAAATCCTGAAGTTGGTTCCCTCACTAGTTTTACTGGTTTTCAAATAAAGACACAAGAGGAGAATGACCAACAGCATCTTTATTCCCGCTAACAGCATCTTTAATTAAATATAGATCAAAATAGAATTGGTGAAGAGAAGCCAAAGAACATGTAGAAGATTGAGTTAAGAGGTGCCAACAGTTTGACTGAGAAGTTGTCCAGCTTGCATCCCTCCAGCCTGCTGCTCATCCCAGCACTGTGGGGCTGTGGACACGTCCAAGTCAATGAACTATTGACTCCTTCTGCTTTCAGTGGTGCCAGAGACATAATACTACCATAGTGACACGTCGGGTAATCCAAAAAAGAGCAGTTAAAACTCATACTTGGAATGTAAAACCAAGGCTTTCAAAGCATATGGCCATCAGGGATGCATGGCTTCTCATACTGACTGTGCAGAGCTGTGGAATCAGCACTTAGCCTCGTGTTGCCTTGTCAGCTGAGTTTGTCTTGTCCACTGAGGACTTGAGAAGAGAGGCAGGATGACGAAAGGCCCCAGATAGAAGAGTCAGATGAAGGTAAGCATAGCGGATAGACCGAAAGAGGGGGACACAAAAATCTACACAAAAATCCATCAATATCTGAATGTGCAGTCCTTGTAGAAGCAGAACCCTCATAAGATTGGGGGCGGGGGATGTCGGGTGAACTGGGACAGGAAAAGTGTCCTTCAGGGAATTTTCTGCTGGGTCAAAAGGCTTCTCAAGGCAGGTGAGAAGTCTAGTGGTGGGTGTAGTTGCCCATCCGCAGCAGCCCTTGGCGCACAGCGTGCTCTTCCCGGTGGGCCTTGAGGGCCCTCTGGCGATCAGCCTCGGTGGGGAAGGTGTCGAGGTGGGGGCCCACCTGTGGACAGAAGGAAGAGGTCAGTGAGAAAGAGTCCGGTGCGGAAGTCATTCATGGCTTCTCCCCTTTATCCTTAGCCCTCCCCTCATGTCCATCTTGGCATAATTATAAAATATTGAGAGGCTCGAATGTTGCATTCCATTAACTGTAAAATGCTAACTAACCACATCGGCATTTTGATCTTTATTCCCCCAGGGCAATGCAGGATGGAACAAACACGTATGTCTTAAGGAAACTGCAACCAGGGTGCTTCTTAGAGGCAAGGATGGGAAAATGTTGCCTCACATACTTTGGGCACGTTGTTAAGGGAACCCAGTGCTTGGAAAAAGACATCATGCTGGGAAAAGTGGAGGCTTAGTGAAGGAAAGGAAGATCCTCAATGAGACAGACTGGCTTAGGGGCTATAAAAATGGGTTCGAGCATATCAGAGATGATGAGGATGGCACAGGACAGGGCAAGATTCAGTTCCATTATTCATTCATTATCTGTTGTCGTGTGCCACTGAGTTGGAACTAATCCATAAGTGACTCCAATTTTAGAGGCATTCAGAGGTAGTAAATCACATGGAGGAGATTACCCATCTTTCTCCCACGGAGCAGCTGGTGGATTTGAACCATGTGCCTTCAGGTTGACAGTGCAGCTCCTTACCACTAAGTCACCAGAGCTCCCTAGGGTTGCTATGAATAGCAATAAACTCAGCAGACCCTAACAACAGCACCAAATGAAAGATGGAGAGTCAGAGAAAGAGAAGACCCTCAACAAGGCGGACCGACACAGTGACTGTAACTACGGGTTTGCACAGATCCCATCTTAAGGATGGTGCAGATAAAGGGCAAGGCTCAGATCTGTTGTTCATCGGGTTGTTGTGAGTTGTAGTCAATTGAACAGCACCTAATAGCAACAAGAACCTCCTCATCCCATGGCCACACAAACTTGTTATTCCATAGTCACACAAAATTGTGTCTGGGTTAGGGTCTGCTTCCTGCCCACCCCATTTCACCCACTGTATTCCCTTCAGACTGAGGCTCACCACCTCGGCCTCACGTGGCCTCACACTTCTTGCACGGACTGTCTGTCCTTTCACTGGCCCTCGATTTTGTCCCCTCTCTTAGTCCTTTCACAGCTCTTACTTTAACTGCCCAAGATCAGGCTTCAACGGACTGGAGTTTAGATTCTTGCTCTGCCTTGTGGCTGTGCACTCTGGGAAAGTCCGTTTGTCTTTTTTTAATTTAATTTTATTATTTTATTATTTTTGGTGTGTGTACTGTCAAATCCAATCTGACTGGTACAGGAGGAGATTGTCCCTCCTTTACTGGTGGATTTGAACCACACACCTCTGGGGTTGCAGTTCAGCTTCTTGCCAGTAGGCCACCAGAGCTCCCTCCAATTGTCTTTCTGAGCTTCCTTTAGGGTGCTGTATCTGCTCCTGAGCCCGCCCAGGACCCTTGGCTACTGAGTACACAACGGGATTGGATTGTTGTGACCCACTGGTTTTCATTGGTTGAGTTCTTGGAATTCGATCATGCTATGGATTGGGAGAAGGATAGGGAATCTCCTCTCGTGCTATTAACTGCCTCTGAAAACGCATCGGAGGGTCAGCTATGGGTTGGTTCCAATGGTACACAACAACCCCTTAAAATATATGTCAACTTGATCTCAGTTGTTATGTGCCCTGGAGGTAACTACAACTCATAGCTACCCTATGCACAACAGCTCTGAACCCTGACCTCTCTTGAGCCCTTTTCACTGTCTCTGACTACCTGTCCCCATTGCCACAGTCACTGTGTCCATGCATCTCATCCAAGGTCTTCCTCTCCTGCATTGCCCCTCCATCCTTCCAAACATGATGTCCTTCTGCAAGAACTGGTCCCTCCTGGCAACATGCCCTAAATATGTGAGATGGAGTTTAAAAAATCCTTGCCTCCAAAAAGCAGCCTGGTTTCACTTTCCCGGGCAGACCCAGAAGTCCACAGAATTGCAGTAATCATTGTTGTAAATCCCAACCTGTATGGTGCTAAGGAGGGAGCTCTGGTGGCTTAGTGGTAAGGAATTGCACTGTCAACCCAAAGGCAGAATGGACTCAAAGGTGACCCTCCACTGGCTTGTTCAGAGGCTGGAACAGCACAGAAAGAGATGGCCCATCTTCTTCCTACAAAGCAGGAGACGGATTAGAACTGTCTGTCTTACAGTTGGCAGTGCAACTCCATCCCCATTAGACCACCAGAGCTCCCCTCCCCACTACTGTTCTAATTGTCTCTTCTTTTTTTTTTATATCACTTTCCACAGTATCTTTATTTCAATCTTTTCATACACAACCAGTGAGCACCACATTTTGTCCAGTTTTAAAATGGCAGTTATGTTGTTGTAATGTATCACTGAGTCAAAATCAACTCATAGCTGACTCTCTAGGGGGTTTTCAGAGGCAGTTAATCACACAGGAGTTGACTGCCATCTTTCTCCCATGGGAGTAGCTGGTAGGTTTGAACTACGGTCTTTGGGTTGGCATTGTAATTCCACACCACCAAGCCACCAGAGGAAAATTTTTAAATTGAAAAAATTTTTTAAAAATTAAGATTATGGCATCTAAGGTAAAATTTATTATTTTAACTGTTTTATTGTATAAATATATGTGTTTGTTTACTAACATTTTTGTAAGTATAATAATAACATTGTAATAAAAACATTGTAAAAAAGGGTTTTGCAAAAAATTCATAAAAACAGAGAAAAATCTTCCATCAACAGATTCTTTCAATCCAAAGAAGAGAAACAAAAGAGGGCTATTTTAATCATTTTGAAGTGCCCAATTCAGCAGCATTTAGCACATGCACAGAGCTGTACAGTATCACCATTGCCTGGTTGCAGAACTTTCCCCCACTCCACATGGAAATTGAAGCATCATCTTTCATACTTGGCACATGTAGCTAGCTAGGTGAGGCTATTCCTTGGAAAGGGACATCATAGTTGCAAAGATAGAGGGCCAGTGAAGGAGAGGAAGACCCCTAACGAGATGGACTGACACTGTGACTTCAGTAATGGAGTCTAGTGTCTCAGAGATAGAGAAGATGGCACAGGATAGGGCCAGTTTCAGGGTGACTGTTCATAGGGTCACTATCAGTCAAACTCGACTCGACTCGACAGCACCTAACAACAACAACAACAACATCCTGGACCTATGAACAGCCAGTGCTTATTTTCTGCCTCTGACCTGTCACTGATAGCCTCTAGTCTGCTTTCCGTCTCTCTGGATTTGTCTATTCCAGACTTTTCACATAAATGGGATCATACAATATTTGTCCTTTTGTTTCTGGTTTCTCTAATTTCATATAACCTTGTTAAGGTCTATCCATGTTGTAGCATGTATGAGCATGTCATTCTTTTTTATGGCTAAAAGCAGCCCATTGTATGGATGTGCCATGGTTCGATTCATCATTCATCTGTTGATGGGTATATAGATTGTTTCCATCTTTTGGCCATTCTAAATAATGTTGCTGTGAGCATTTGTGTACAAGTTTTTATGTGGACAAAAGTTTTCACTTCTCTCTGATACACATTTAAGGGTGGAATTGATGACACAACTGTGCTCGCCAAAACTAAGGAGGACCTGAGACATTTACTACAGAAGGTCAAGGACTGCAGCCTTCAATATGGCTTGAAGCTCAACATCAAGAAAACAAAGATTTTCACCACTGGACCAAGTGGGAGCATCATGATAGATGGTGAAGAGATTAAGATTGTAAACAGCTTCAGCTTGCTTGGCTCCACAATCAGCATTCTTGGTACTTTCAGCCAAGAAATCAAAAGACTAATTGCACTGGGGGATATCTGCTGTCAAAAACCTCTCCAGAGTACTGAGGAGCAACAGTGTCAGTCTAGAGACTAAAGTGTGCCTGATCCAAGGCATGATCTTTGTAATTATCTGCTATATGAATCAGACAGGCTGAACAATGACTAAGGATGACAGAAGAAGAATTGATGCCTTTGAGTTGTGGTGTTGGAGAAGAGTATTGAATATACCATGGACTGCTAAGAGAACAAACAGGGTCGTCCTGGAGAAGGTGAGACCAGGCTATTTGCTCCTTGGAGACTAGGATTTTGAGGCTCTGTCTGACATACTTTGGGCATGTTGCCTAGAGGGACCACTCTACTTGGAGAGGGACATCATGCTTGGGAGAGTGGAGGGGCACAGGATAGGAAGACCCTGGATGAGATGGATTAACTCAGTGACAGGGGTAATGGGAATGGGTGTATCAGAGACAATGAGATTGACTCATGATAGAGAAGGGTTCAGAGCTGTTGTACATAAGGTCGCGATGAGTCACAGGCGATTGATTCAATGGCATGTACCAACAACAACAACCACAATGACTTAACCCTCTGTTTAACTTTCTGGAGAATATACTGTCTTTTAAGAGAGGGTGTACTTAGAGCAGTGCCTATAACTGGCCCCTGCTTTTATCTGCAACAGCAGGTCTCTGCCTAGTTGGTAGGGAGTTGCAGTGTTAACCAAAGGCTGCACCTCCCTGGCGATCTGAACTCACCAGCAGCTACTTGAGAAAAAGAGGGACAATCTTGACTTGATGGAAATGAACTGCAGATGGTATTTTTAGCTTCCTAAAAACTTTCTCTTCTAGAAAACCCCTTCTTGAAGCGGGAAAGAAGGGCCCTGAAAGTGCTGTCCACATGGGGATGAGCCAGGAAAGGGCAGAGCTGGGCTGCCTGGGTGTCTGAGCACCGTACTCCCCATGCTGCCCAGCCCATTGCCAGGAAAGAGGGGTGAAGATAAACTGCTGAGCACACGCGGGAGCCACTGTGGAATGGAATCTAAGAGCTAATGCTCATCCTTAAAATGTGAGCAAACATCCCACCAAGTTGCCTGTCCTGGTGCCTGGCAGGTCTCCTTTGTAGGGAAGATAACCTAGCTCCCCTCTTGCCCTGTGCAAGCCAGCGGGGTGGGTGGTGGTGCCTGGTGGTGGACAAGTGACCCCAATAGCATCAGAGCC